CACCCTGGTTCCGTGTGTGATGGGTGTCTGAGTCCCCACCCTGGTTCTGTGTGTGTGACGCGTGTCTGAGTCCCCACCCTGGCTCTGTGTGTGTGTCGTCTGTTCTACCCATGGGGTTTCCTCTGGTTTCTCTCCACGCTCCAAAAAACAGGCCGAGGTTAATTGGAGTTGCCTGTAGGTGTGAGTAAATGTGCTGTGAGAGTCCTTCCATGGGTTGGTGCCCCATCCTGGATTAGTGCCTGTTCCCTGCCTGTAGCCACCTAGATAGGCGCCAGACCCCCACGACCCTGAATAGGACAAACGGATGGATTGACAGCTCTTGGCATCAGACTTTCTACATTTGATTTTCTGCATGAAGCACTGAAGTTATATGTCTTGGTGAAGATTGTCCTCATCAATTTTGAAACCCTGGTCGATATTTCTGAGACACGTAGGCGAGTCACCTGCTCCTCCCCCGTTGTGTCTGTGCCGTTAATGTTTCTTACAAACGCAAAACGCGCGGCTGCTGTGGACGAGTAGAAGCTACATTATCATCTGAGCTCCCAAACTATGGTGCAGCATGGGGCAGCCCTGATTGGCCCATGATTACAGGCGAGTGAAATCTGGCCTCTGTTTTCACATCATGTAATTCACATGTGCTGGACATTTCACCTCTTCCCTGTTATCTGAATTTATGATGACAATTTAAAAGCAGCCTTTCAATCAACTTGTCAGTAACTAAAATAGAAAATATATCATTTATATTCCTGCTCCCACATTTAATGTTTTTCAAAATGCCCAGAGTTTCACTTGAAGTGCAAAATTATTTCTAATAGACATGATCTGCTCTTTCTGAGCTATATAACTCATTTTATTATTGACAAAAACACGCTCCATTTGGTTTAATCAGTTAAAATGTTGCAGATTTAATTTAATTCTCATCCAAATCAAAATTTGTTGTACAAAGTACAATGACAATAAAAGTATTCTATTCTATTCTATTCTTGTATATGTGCATTCCTGTTCTGTGCTTGTAAGAGGCAGTTTAATTAGGGAATTTGCCCTAAACCTAAATAAAGAAATCACTGGTGTACAATATGGTGTACAGCAATTTCATATTACTTACAACTTATAGGAAAATCACGTTTCTATATCTAGCTAGGTGCCACGGCATATCAATGAAAACACAAAACTGATCAGCACGGTGTATATACGTTATATTACATACGACATATTAGAAAATGTCGTTGCGTGTTTGTATTCAGTTAGGTGCCGCTTTTGGCTTCGTCATTTCGTCCCCCATCCTCTGCTCCCCCACGCAGCCTGGACGATGCCCGCGGTGGCCTGCAGAGGGCGGGCTTCTCGCCGGCAGAGTCAGCCGGGCAGCGGAGCAGGTTGGCCTTCCGCCAGGACGGGCACTGCCACGACTCGCTGGTCTTCCCAGGCTGCCTGAAAGACACCCTGTACAGGATGACCCCCCTCCTGAAGGACCGCCAGCTGGTGATCCAGGTGACGAGGAGGAGGGGCTGGGGGGGGGGGCTCCACAACATGTGTCACCATGTCCACGCATAACTGCTCTTTGTGTCAGATCAAGACAGGATGGAGTAGGGCTGGGATCCCATAAAAGCATAACAGTTTAGAAAAATATACATTTTTTCAGGTCCTTTTTTCAGGTATTGTGTTTTTATCATGAGACATTAATGATTGAAAAGACAAATAAAGACATAAAAATTTGTATGAAGCTTTGTGAAATTACCTTTTGAGACCAAGTAGTTTCATGAATGAGGCAGACTCTGGTCATAAGACCCCCTTTTACAAATAACGATGCTCCCCCCCCCCATGCGATTCTGGTCTAGATATGGAGGATGTATAACGTGGAGGTTACAGGAGGATAAGATTAGACACTATGAAACTTTATTCATCCTGAGGGAAATTATCGAATTTATTGAAGTTACGGAGGACGTGAGAGCCTCTCTTTGCTCCGCATGAATACCGTCAGCCATCTCACCCCAGCAGCACGTCTCCATTTGTGCGCTAATTCTTTCACGGAGCTCTTAAAAGTCTTGGCCTAGTTCCCTCTGTAGCACTCAGAAGGCTTTGGGTGCTCCCCCGGGCCCCCCCCCGCGTGAAATGCGAGATCAAGGTAGGCCCCTCCCTCACCTTTTACTGCGGTGCTGTGCTGATCTCCATCCCCCAGAACGCGGAACCCCGATGTGCTGCATTTGAGGAACAGCCCTGTTTTCTCGAACATTTCCCGTTTGGTAACCCCCTTAGCTCAGAAGTATAGCATAGAAAAAAACAAACAGTGAAATGGCTGGATATCATTGCCGGAAACATTCCGGAACGTTGTGCTGATTGCGTTTGCTGAAGGCCCTTTTATCGAAGCTCTGCCATGTTCTTGGCAGCATGTTGACACCTTTGGCTGAAATAATTTAATTTCACTGAAGATCAAGACCATGATGTGAATGCAAAATTCTATTTCACAGTGATGTGAAGTTTGTGATTCCCAATAATCCGCCATCATAGTATTTTAGCTTTTCATAGGAATGATGTAAAGCAGAGCTTTCCAATTCTGGTCGTGGGGGGGGGGGCGTAATCTAGGGGGCGCTGGAGGGGCGTGGATAGCCTGGCAGATTCAGAAGGCCCAACACCTTACTGGGGTCCTTGAATATGTAAAATTATAAAATTATACAATGTCAGGGGGGGCGATGGGGGCCCAAGGTGACATTTTCTCGCTACTCCCCTGTTAGAATCCAACAAAGTTTGCAAATTTCCCTGCTCAAACACCTAATTACCAGGTTTAGTAGATGTGTTTGAACAAGGAAATTTGCACAGTCTGCTGGATTCTGACCCTACAGGACGGGAATTGGGGAACCATGATATAAAGTGTCGCAGCCACATAAAGACTGAATCGTAACTGAAGATTATAAGCAATGGGGTGATGGTTGAGCATCCAAAACTTCACACCCATCTGCTTCGCCTGTCACCCAGGACAGGTCCTGCTGCCTTGCCCCCAATATGGTGCGGTTCTTTCTGGAGAAGGGCGCTGACGTTCTGGTGGCCGGAGCCATCTCAGGCTTCACCGTGGCCCACATGGCGGTACTGGCTGCCCCCTTCTCCGGCCAGGTCTTCTGCTGCTCGGACTCCCTTCCCCCCGCTCAGGGGGACGAGATGCAGGACATCTTCTCCAGCATGGAGTGCAAGAGTAAGCAGCCATCGTTCCCTTTGCTACAGGACAGTGTTTCTCAGCCCGACTCTCGGGGATCCCCAGACGGTCCACGTTTTTGCTCCCTCCCAGCTCTCAGCACACCTGTGTTTGGTATTCGGAGTTTCTGATTGGCTGGGAGCAGAAATGTGGGCTGTCTAGGGGTCGCAGAGGACTTGGTTGAGAAACACTGCAGTTGGATACTTAAGATTCTTCATGAAAAAGTGTAACTTACTTCGATTTGTGTTTTATTGAATACTGGTGATGTTTTTTTAAATTAAGTTGAGTGACCTTGAGTGTTCAACGAGATTGCATTTTTTAACATCATTTCTTAAATCTGATGATTTTTCGCAAAGCTTGTAAACATGACGAATCAGAGCATGCATGGTGTTTTCACCATTATCATTAATATTGCTGTTGTGATTTATTTTTTTGGCGTTCTTGGCATATGGAGAGAATACAGATCAGTCTCATAAAGCAGTGAATAAAACTATTTCATTAACTGGTAATACCGAGGTTTCCAGTAAAGCCTTGAACATGTACTGACTCAGATCAGGTTAGCCGACCATTATTCTGTTTTATTTGAATGCTAATCCTCCCATTGTAATGATAAATTATTAAGCATCTGAAGTTCTTGTGACTCGAAAATGGCTATTTAAGTTTTAATATACTGCCTGAGACCCTTTAGATATGTTATATAGGTGAATATATGTGAATCAGAGTGATGTCAAGGAGTAATGACCAAACAGCTACAAGAAATAGGCTTGTTTTTATCCCGTCGAGTCAATTTCTCGCTTGCTTCTCTCTTTATAGGAATCCAGCTTTCATTTTACCCCACTCCGTGTTCGGCTGATTGAATTGAAACTGGTCTTTTAGAAAACAGCGCAGTGGGTGGTGAATATGTGGAAGTAATAATATATTCTAATATATTCCTCTTGCAGAGCCTTTTGTCCCACACAATTTACAGTGGGTAATGTATGCTGTTATTTCCCTTTGTCTCAACAGGATGTGAGGTAGCTAAAGGCATGTGATCTGACCCGCGTCTGACAGCCCCCAGTCAGAGTAAATACCACTGACTTGATGGCTTAATTTTCTTCCTCTGTGATAATTGCATGCACATTCTTTTGGGTTTCGGAGGCGTGAGCCGCATCGTTAGCGCCTCGTCAGCTGGGTGTATTTGAGAGGAAGCTCCACAGGGCACAGAAGGCTCGAGGATGCTCATCCTCTCGCCAAAAACGGCAGTGGGAGAACAAGCCCCGCCCACCATGCCAAAAAAAAAAAACACTTGTCGAACAGGGGTGGGGAACCTGTTCCGTGGAGGGCCAGTGCGGGTGCGGGTTTTTGGGATGGCCTTTCAGTCAGCCAATAACAGTGGGTCCCCAGGACTGGAGTTTTTTATTATTGGCTGATGGAGAGGTCATCCCAAAGACCCGCACCTGCTCTCCATGGATCAGGGTCCCCACCCCCTCTCAAACACAACCTCCTCTGTGAAAAAAGGCACAGACAGCCGTGAAGGAGGAAGCTCCACATGACAGTTAAGCGGCTCCCCGCCGGCTCTGTTTCTGTGCTGTTGTACCTCAGAGAAATGGCATCCATGCCGTCGCTAACCCATACGGAAGGCACCCTACTCTAGCTGCTCTGAGTGGGATTTTACATCAGGTGAACATCTCAGAACGAGCTGATTACGAGCCCGGTTCTGATCCATGTGGACATGCGGCCCAGCAATGGCTGGCTTGGAATTGACAGTGCTGGGGAACTGGGCTTTTTGGTCAGAAGGTAAAGACGGGACCAGAACGGGCTGTTTTTGCAGTGCGGCATGCAGACGGTGTGTTTGCTGTTCTTGGGACCCCACCCAGGAAGTCGTTTTGGGCCCCCCCGCCCCTCCACAGATGTTTCAAAGGCTCAATAAATAGCTAGCAAGTAAAGTGAGAAGATCGTAGCAGAACATGCTGCTTCAGCATCTCTTAAATAAGAAATGCGTTAATTTAATATTTAGTGTAGTGACTGTTTGAGGCCAATAGGGGGCCTAAACCTCAGGGGCCCCGCTCACATGCGTGGTGTGAGTGGTGGCGAATGCTGCTGGTAGGCATGCAGGAGGAGGCTAACAGGAGTTCTGCTTGGCTGCAGATGTGAAGCTGATCCAGGGGAGTTTTTGTGACCTGAGCCCCTCAAACGCGCGGCTCCAGAAGGTGAGAGTGATGCTGCTGATGCCTCAGAGCTCTCTCTCTGCCGCCAGCAACCCTGCCGAGATCATCCTGCAGGAGAACGGAGGTACGGCATTGAGCCGGGCCCCATCCTGGGGGGCTCCGTGTCGCACTCATGCAGCCTAATCAGGACTGTCACCCTCTCCGGATTGTTCCGGAGTTTGATGCCCTGAAAACAATGCCTTGGAATTTCATTGTATTTTTTTATGCTAGCTGTCATCTCACTGTCAGTGGGGGTCGACATGTTTGTGACATTCTAGTTTCACCTTCTGAAACACACATATAGATCACATGTCATTTTCCTGTGAATATATTGATGACTTTTACAGGACTGGTCCACATTTTTGCTCCTTCCCAGCTCCCAGCAGCGGAGCAAAAACGTGGACTGTCTGTGGGTCCCGGTGGACCAGATTGGGAAACACTGAGTTAGAGGACTGTCAATGGAAAATATATCCAGCCAATCAGTGAAGCCCCTTACAGGGCAAAGAGGAAGTGACCTTTGACCTGGAAGTCATTGACAGGTGGGGTCCCTGATTTTCAGACAGACACCTGCTGCAGGACCTGTCCCAGGGAGCCGTCTCACAGACCAAGCTGGACAGCCTGGTGGGCAGACAGGCACAGCAGCTCGCTCATGCCCTCAAGCGTAAGTTAAAAAAGACCCTCAAGCTGCTCCAGAGTCAGCACAGTGTGTCACTTTCAGGGCCCTTTCCCACTGCACCAGGCACTGTACTTTCAGGGCCCTTTCCTACTGCACCAGGCACTGTACTTTCAGGGCCCTTTCCCACGGCACCAGGCACTGTACTTTCAGGGCCCTTTCCCACTGCACCAGGCACTGTACTTTCAGGGCCCTTTCCTACTGCACCAGGCACTGTACTTTCAGGGCCCTTTCCCACTGCACCAGGCACTGTACTTTCAGGGCCCTTTCCCACTGCACCAGGCACTGTAGTTTCAGGGCCCTTTTCCACTGCACCAGGCACTGTACTTTCAGGGCCCTTTCCTACTGCACCAGGCACTGTACTTTCAGTACTTTCCCTATTCCATTGACTTCCAGTCGAGTTCCAGTACCAAAAGTATTTTGGGGTGGAACTTGCAAACGTGTTCACTGTCGATTGGTTATGCAAATAGCCTACCTCTGAAACAATGCAAACAGTACCTTGAAAAAGTTGCAAGCTCAGAAAACAATCATAAACAAAGTAAATTTAAAAATGTAATAATAATATATGCCTGGACAAATGAAGAGACCCAAGCATTAATTGCGATCTGGTCAGAAGATCCAGAAGGAGATCTGGACGGCATGACGGGAAATTAAAAAGTATTTTGTGTAATATACTAGAGCTGCACCATATTGGAAAAAAAATATGAAAAAAATTCAACATAAATTTCTCACAAGCCCTTCTAGAAGTGATTTACACAGCAAGGATGAAAATGATCATGATCGTCTCGGAGAACGCCTGCAGTGCTAAGCTAAAGCAGCGGAGGTAAACTGATTTTTTTAGACATATACTGGATAATATTGAAAAGGAACAATCGCTAAAATTGCAATGCTTGTTAAGTTTTGTTTCCTATGACAGAGTAAAAATGCTTTAGCTACATTTTTAAGCCCCCTGTGCTATAATGTCTGTGAAGTATGAAGGTATGAAAAAGCCTGATCTAACCCCACTGACTGTCGCAGTCCTTGTCATCTGAGAATTGCACGTGCATAATATGCGATGTTGCTATTAATTAATATCACACATCGTCCAGCCCTATGATTTATTACAGCCATTTTTAGATTTCAGTACAGAATACCCCACCTCACGTGATGTCATTCGGCACCAGTACCAGTTTTTTTGCTAGTGGAGAACCAACACCATTAAGTACTGTGCAGTACTTTTGGTCCTTTTGTAATAAACTTTTTGAAGAACCAAAAGTACAGTACCTGGTGTGGTGGAAAAGCGTCCTAAGTGCTAATGTGAAGTGTTCAGCGTCTGAGTGCACGGGGAGAGTCACCTCCAAGTGAGCACTGGGTCACTCTGCTGCTCTGTGGGGACCCGGAAGCCCTGGCCTGCTTTTTCAGGACCTAGAACAAGCACCAGCATTAAGGTTCCACTGTGTTCCCCAGCCCTGAGCCATGTGCTGCCTGGGATAGACTCCAGGAGCTCAGCGACACTTAGCTGGATTAGCACTAGGAAGATGGATGGATGGATGGATGGTATTTTGTTCATGAATGGGGTATAGCACAGGTGACTGTTAATACATGAAATAAAGATTGGAAGGTGTTTTCCCTTTAAAATTCTTTCATAAAAACAGTTGTAGGTGTGTAATGTTTTGGATTGTTTTAGTGCTACGCTGGTGAGGGTCAGACTCGCTGTTATTTTCCGCACAGACGATGGATTAAACATGCTAAGCTTTGCATGCTAAATTGGAAATCTTAAAAAAAAAACCTGTTATAAATCTGAAAAAGCGTAACACTGAAATTAGGATTCAGTAGCAGCTTGGCACCGAGCAGCTCTGGGAGAGGTTTGCATGAGGCGGGTGCACTGACGCGTGCCGGAAATGCGAGGGCATGAACGTTTCACGCGGGTGTAATGGGGGGTATCTGTGTGTGGGAGCCTGGCACTGGCCACGGGCCTCTGAGGGAGCCGCCGCCCCCCCCCCCAGAATGTCCCAGAATGTGTCACGGTGTCCTCGCAAGGTCGTACCTGCCTTCTTACACAGCAGGATGGTGGAGGTGTGCATGCAGACTCGGCTCAGAGTGCGAAAGGCCGCATTCCTTGGGCTTCCGTTGCTATGGCAGTAGGTCAGGCCACTGTAACGGGGTGGGGGGGTGTCATTTTGCCCGATTCCCTCTTTCCCCCACCTGGAGGCAATTCTAGACCCTATTTAGGAAGGCTTCAGCTACCCTATTTTTTGTCTCAGCCCCCTGAAAAAAAAATCTAAATTTATTTTATTTGTTCTGTAAAAGTGCCAACCCTACTAGGGGCTGAGCCCCCCCCAGGGGTCGAATCCTATGATCGCCCCTGCCCCCACCTTCTCTCTCAGGAGCTGGAGACCTGCCTGAGTTTTGATCCACCTTCCGTCAGAGATATCGGCGACGTGATGAGGCGTTTGAGCCAGATTACAGATTCGTAATTCAGAGCCGGCACGCATTATGAAGCCTGTGAGATATTTATAAGGTGTCAGAAGCCCTCGTCTGCTGATGTTTCTCATCTAAATCAGCAATAACTAACTGATCTACACCAGTGCTGCCTATTTCACGCATAAATTTCACACATACATTTACATTTCTGCATGTGGGAGTTATGTTTAAAAGGGATCGAAACACCACAGTATGAAGGACTGATATTTTGACAGCTGTTCCTGTGGCGCAATCGGTCAGCGCGTGGTACTTATACAGCAGTGTCCAGTGGAGCCATGCCGAGGTTGTGAGTTCGAGCCTCACCTGGAACACTTACTTTAAATAATTTGTCCCTGTGACTAATATGCTGTTGGTTTAGTTGCACTTCATAGTCAAACAGCAGCTATTTGGCAGACGGGTTGTCAGTGGTAGTTAGAATGAAATGCCTTTAGTCAAAAGGTCGTGGGTTTGAATCCCAGGGATGATTTTGCTGTTGGGCCCTTAACCACCAATTTCTCCTGTCTGACCCTACGTTCTCAAAATACGCGTCCCTTTGGCTAATAGTATGTGCTAAATAAACAAACTATAAACATTTCACTAGAAGCCAAAATGGACTGAGAGGCTGATTGGAGGAATGCAAATGTGTGAAATTTGGGAAGATCCGATCTGTGAAAGCGATAAGCAGTAAGCAAACTGTTGAGGTAATTGTAATTAAAAATACATAAAGCAAATGTTGAGAGACACGGGGAAGGCAGTTTATCTGCTGGATAATCAGAGTGGGGGCTAAGCCTTCAGAGGCAGCCATGAATAATGCAGAGAGATGCTAATGGCCTTTAATGGATGGTACCTTCAGACCCCCCCAATCCCACTTTAGAGCTGCTGTTAGACAAGGCACACGTGGCAAGTTTGGGGACATATTCACGCTGAGCCGGCAGATTAGCATTGGGGGGCAGGTGTAGCTCAGCATTCTGTGCCTTCCATCTGAAGGGTGTTGGTTCAAATCCCAGGCTGAGCAGAGTATCTTCACCTTTAGGTACCTGAGCGTGGCCCTTAAGACCTTATTGCTCCAGGAACTGTC